TTTCTCCAGTAGGAGAATGACTTCGGAGTTTACTTCTAATAAGATCTCCGAAAGCTTTGGGAATGCCATCTAGATATTTTTCTTTCCAATAGGCTTGGTTGCAATCTTCTCTGGTTAGAACCCTAGACATAAAGGTATCTTTATACCATTTGAAATGTTCTAAGGAATCACATTTGAGGTTTGAAAGGAGTTCACCTGATCTTTCTCTCCAAAGAGAAGGATCACCCAGGAAATGTTGGGATATTGTATATAACAACGTATACACATCATCACGGAGACGCTCATTGTCACTGACAATAGTTTTCCCCTTATCATCAATTTTAACTGCAGAGAGGATATTTTCTCTATCAGCTTCAGTGAGATAATTATCCCACCAACCTTTGAGTTGGCCAGTAAAACTAGCTACAAGAATATAAACAATGGTGTCTTCAGGCATATTTTGATTAGTAAAATAGCCCATGGCGACAACTGACATGTTTTGGAGTTTGGCAATGATATTATATTCAGATAATCCATCAATATTCCAAATATAAATATCATTAGAATTAAAATTTTGAATAAAATCTTGTTTTTCTTCTAAAATAAGATCAGGGGCGGTAGCTCTATTATAATAAAGCTTGGAAGAATTTTTTTAATTGTTGATTGGATTGATAACTAAAACAGAATTTGTTTCAGAATAATGTTCTGAATCAACCTTAGAAATAACATTGACAGTTTTGGCAAGAGACCTAGTTCTGAGTTTAGCACTAGACTCTTCAGAGGGTTGAGGAGTATCGAGAATAGTAGTAAGGAGGCTAATAATTTTACTAAGCAACTCATTCTGGTTATCCTCGTTCACTCTGGTTTTTTCTTTTTGTCTGAGTTCTAAAATATTTTGTTTAGCTTTAGCACTAATATTAAAAGGTTTGAACAGAGGTTTTTCTAATTGAGGTTGAGAGGATGAAGAAGCCACTTCTTCAATTTTAGGTTTGACAGGATTAATAGAGATATAACTGTAAATCAGTATATCAGATATTAATATAATGCACATTTTAATGTAAATTCATAATTTTTGTACTAAGGATCATTTATATTTTATTTAATAAAACTATATTTACGGAAGCATTTTTAATGCATAACATTATAAGCTAACAGGGCACTAAGTTCCGAGCTGTACTGAGTGTATGATTAAACCAAATAAATAGAAATTATAAGCTAAGACAATAAAGTAACTTAAAAAAATTAATTTAAATTATAATCTTATCCTTAACTTTATATATTAATAAATTATTTTAGATTTGTGGGATGTAAAACAAGACGTGTGAATCGAGAAAAGAAAAAAAAACGGATGTTAAACATGTTATTATGTGTCTGATCCAAATGGTTCTAAATATTAACATATATTTTAATGAAATAAAGCACGTCAAGAAGTCCTCTTCATGCATTATCTTAAAACAAGAGAAGGTCTTCACGGGGGCCATGACTGTTTGCAATTCCAAGGAGAATGATCTTTCTACAAGAACCTCTACACGACTACACCAGACAATTTTTATTGAAATTTTACGATAATTTTAGAAAAAAGAATGCCATAAAAACAGGTAAACCCCAAATTCTTTTAAAAATAATAATTGTAAATATATTAGTTGCTGAAAATATAACAATTCGTCAATAAATCACAAATATAAATATATAATCACTTGTTTTTATACTCTAAAAAGATTATTATAATCGATATTTATGATTATTAGGTGGGATTATGTTACATGTGGATGACTTTTGTAATTTAAAAATTAATATTTTTACCAATGACAGTTAGTTTGAGTAGCAAGCAGTTCAATATTGTTTAAGCAAAATTTTAAATTCAAATTTAATAAAATAATTTAATAAATAATAAATAAAATTTTGAATTCAAATTTTTGTATATACATTTCAGAATTATGATATAATTTTAATTAATTTAATAAGTGATAAATAAAAACATGTGTGTTTTACGTAAAAAAAAATAATAATTTATTAATTACTCTCTAAAAAAATAGATTAACTCACCTCTAACTATAACTCAAACCTACTTTTATATTAAGACCTAAGATTAAAGAAAGTCCATTACTTATAAAACTTACAAAAAATGAGATCGTGTAGTGAGTTGTGAGGAGTGAATGTAAGCTTATCATAAATCCATATTGATGGATCTACTAGATTCCGGAGAGAGTAGACCGTCGAGGTTTAATTCACTTAACTAAATTAACATTCGCTGGAAAATGATGCAAATTTGTGGATGGGGTTAAAGGGATCATGCTTCTTCTTCATTAACACCGTTGAAGAAGACCTTGCTGTTGTCTACCATCAATAGCCCCAACACAATATAGAGAAGGTGTAGAACCCGCACGGTTGAAGCTATAAAAACAGCACTAGAAGCTAGTGGTGCATGGCTCTTTATTGGTTACCTCCATCTTTTTGGTGGCTCAAAACCACCTCACCTCGCATCACCTTGGGTAACATGGCAGATAAATATGGATTATGGACCCATCTTCACCTTGCGTCTTGGGGTTCACAACACATTGGTTGTGAGCAATTCAGAAATGCCCAAACAATATGTTTTTAATCGCTTAAAGAAATTTTGCATATTTTTTAGATATTTTAACAAATCTTAATTCGTTTAAGTGAAATTAAACTGGACAGTTCAGTAGTTCCTGCTACCAGAAAATTGGAATCTCATATTAACAGTTTTATGTATGGTTATATATACTTTGGTTATGTTTAACAGTTCTTAATTGCACGATTAGCAAATGGAGTGGAGTGATATTCAGAGAAACATTGCATTAGTAACTAAAGTGATTTTTATTTTATTATTATGCTCTTTAGTCCATTATCCGTTGTTTGATAAGCGCCATTAATAATGACAGTAACTAAAGTGATATTCAGAGAAACATTGCATTAGTATTTGATTAACAAATTTTCACTGAATGCCCTTAATTTGCTTCAGTTATTTCTTTTAATTTTTTTAACTCATTCAAATAAGTAGAGAAAATGTTCACTAATTCTTTCTGCATTACAAAAAATCGCAATAGAGACGTGATTTGTACTAAAAATTGGCAGCCAAAAAACTAGATTCGAAGTTTTCAAATTGAAGAAAATGATTACAGAAACAATATGTAATACTTAGATATGTTCATGCATGAGTTGACCCTTGCTAGTGGCTGCAAGAGGTTCTAATATACAGTGTAATACTCTGTCAAACAATATTTCATTTCCATGTTTAGGAATTCGTCAATTATAACACTTACTAATTATTCTTTTCTTTCATGCTTAATTGGCTCTAATATTTTAATTTATTTATAATTTTAATTATTTGTATTTACTTTTTTTATATTTTTAATTATTTAATTTTATTTACTTAAAAAATATTAATAAAAATAATAAAATTATGTATAAATATTTTAATACAAATTATTTTTGTATTTTTATTCATATATTTTTATTCTTAAATTCTGTATAAATTAAGAATATATTACGTTTTATTTTTAATTATTAGAATATTTTTATAAAAAAACTTAATTTAAGCATTTAAAAAATTATAAAATTAAATATAAATACTAAAAAACTAATTGCATATAAATTCTTTTAAAATTTTAGAAGAATTTATGAATAAGTTATAAAAAATAATAGATGTTTTTCATAAGTTGTTATTAACTTATTCTCATGAATTTATGAAATTAAAATGAAATATTTTTATAAAAATTCTTTATCAATGTAATTTTATCATGATTTATTTCGGGGCTCTCTATATTAAGAACCTTAAAATTAATTGAAAGTGTAACAAGTGTTATGAATAGAATGTGAAAGCCTGGTACAGTTAAATGGCACTTGTTGGACAAAAGACAAAAGTATAAATTAATAAGCATTAAGTATATTTTAGGTTAAACTAATCAGTTAGTCTCTATAAATTTTATATTTTTAATTAATTTTTTAAAATTTTAAAATTTTTAATTAAATCTTTAATAATTTATATTATTATATCTCTATTATTAATGACATGATATTTTTAATTTTACAAATTTTTTTATTTATATTACTCTTCTATAGTTATTTTTTACAGATAAATATTTCTAAATCTCTTAATCTTATTATTGTTAGGTGATAAATTCAACACTAAATTGAGAACCTATCTTTCAAATTATATTTGTGATTACATATTGAATAGAAACAACTAAAAGTTTTGACTCACTCCTAAAATTTTGAAAACTTTTAAAAAAGTTTAGATTTAAAGTTTAACTTCTTTCACCACGAATTCAGGTTTTTAGACTAACATTATATAAATATTTTATTATAATAAAATAGTAAAAAATTAGAACAAAATTAACTTTAAACTTATTTGTATTGCCATGCAGAATTCAAATGTGTTAATAATAATTTAACGTCAAAGATGTTAGAAATATGATAAAACTTAGATTGCCAAATTATATATATACTTAACAAATATATAACAAAGTTAATTATTAAGAATTTAATTAAAATTTTTAAAACTATTAAAACAGAATTAAAAGGTTTCAAATTTTGATCACCTAACTAAAAATTTAAAGAAACGATAAAGATTACTAATAGATTAATTTAATCTTTATTTTATTAAACACTTTAATTTTAAAAAAATAATATCCTTTAAAACTTTAAGATAATAAAAAATTAATTTTTTTAAAGAACATTTTTAACTTTTCAATGTATAAAGTACATATTAGAAAAATAAAAGAACTCTTGTGGTGCCATTTACTTCAAATATCTCCAAACGAAGTCTTCCTATAAGCAAGATAATTCCAACCCTTCACTCTCACCCACTTGGCTCCTCCACTTCAATAGACAATAATGACATACGTTGATATACCTCATTCAGTGGTTGTCTTCATACACAAACTTTATGTTACATAGTCCTTAGAATTTTTCATTACGTGTCCTTGACCTTGACCAATTCAGGTCTTCAACCATTTGAACTTATAAGTATACCTACATAGTTCTAGCATTGCACAATTGTTCCCAATTTGCAAAGCTCAAATGGCTCCAAAATCTCTAATTAGTTTCTTCATCTTTCTCATTCCCCTGGTTGCTGCCAAGGCTTTTACTTTCCAATTCCATGGTTTCAATAACAATGAAGAAAATCTCATCCTTGATGGGGATTCCAACATTGTCAAACCTCAAGGTACACTTAAACTAACCCGAAGAAAAGACAATATTGTTGGCCATGCATTCTATAACATACCCATCAAAATGTTTGACAAAGAAAACTCTTCAGCACCTCAACCAAAACTTTCTTCCTTTAGTACATGCTTTGTTTTCTCCATTGTATCACCAAGTTCTGGCTCTGGTGGCTATGGTCTTGCCTTCACCATAGCTCCCTCACCCCATTTTCTAAAAGCTGAAGCTGGTCATTATCTTGGTCTTTTCAACTCTTCTAATGATAGGAACACCTCAAACCATGTCTTTGTAGTTGAATTTGACACAGTGAACGGCTACAGCGATGGTTTTGACAGAGAAGGGAACCATGTTGGGGTAAATTTAAATGGCATGTTATCAACCATATCTAAGCCAGCAGGTTACTTTGAAGAAGGCATGGATGAAAAGCAGGTAGACTTTAATATGGGCAAGGTTGATGCTGTATGTGCTTGGATAGAATATGATGATGAAACAAAATTTTTGAATGTAACAATTGCCCCTTTATCAGTGCCATCAAAACCTAGCAAACCCCTTATATCCAAAAGGATAGACCTTAGGCCTGTTATGAGGGAAAGCATGTATGTTGGTTTCTCAGCATCAACAGGTCAAAGGAAAGCAAGCTCTCACTATATTCTTGGGTGGAGCTTTTCAGTGAATGGTATTGCTCCTCCGCTCAACATTTCACAACTTCCAAAACCACCAAAGGAGAAAGATCCATATTCCGTTCCTTGGGTCATGGTTGCAATTGGCATCTTGTCTGCTTTGACTTTTACCTTATTGTGCTTTTTGTTTTTTCTCACAATCTATAAGAGATATGTGAGATTTGAAAAACTTGAGGACTGGGAGCTTGATTGTCCTCATAGGTTTAAATATAGAGATCTTCACATAGCAACAAAGGGGTTTCATGAGAGCCAGCTAATTGGAGTTGGAGGCTTTGGTTCTGTGTTCAAAGGGGTGTTACCAAGTACAGGAATTGAAGTTGCTGTTAAAAGGATCATGAATGGTCCATTGCAAGGAATGAGGGAGTTTGCAGCTGAGATTGAAAGCTTGGGAAGATTGAGGCACAAGAATTTGGTCAATCTTCAAGGTTGGTGTAAGCACAAGAATGATCTACTCCTAGTTTATGATTACATTCCAAATGGGAGCCTTGATTCTCTCCTATTCAACAAAAAAATTTCTCTGTCTTGGGACCAAAGATTCAACATTCTCAAAGGTGTAGCTGCAGGGCTCTTGTATCTTCATGAAGAGTGGGAACAAGTGGTGATCCATAGAGATGTGAAATCTAGCAATATTCTAATAGATGGGGATTTGAATGCTCATTTAGGTGACTTTGGACTAGCAAGGGTTTGTAGTCATAATCAAGTGTCACACACAACAAGTGTGGTTGGCACAATTGGGTACATTGCCCCAGAGTTAACTAGGACAGAAAAAGCATCTACAAGCTCTGATGTTTATGCATTTGGGGTCCTACTACTTGAAGTGGTTGCTGGAAGAAGACCTGTTGGCTCATCAGATAAATTTTTCTTGGTGGACTGGATCCTTGAAAATTACCAATTGGGTCAGATTCTTGAAGTAGTTGATCGTAAGCTAGGCTCAGTTTATGATGAGAAAGAAGTAGAGTTGGTTCTGACATTGGGTCTCCTTTGTACTCAATACAAAGATGATTGTAGACCCACCATGAAACAAGTGACTAGGTACCTAAACTTTGATGACCCTCTTCCTGATATTGCTGACTTGAGACACTATGATTCTCAAAGAAGCATAATAAGCTCAAGTTTCTCAGAAACCATGTCCACGGGTAAGATAAAGACTTCATCCTCATACAGTTTACCCTCCATTGGCGGGAGTACAAAGTCAATAGATATTGGTTCATAGAAAAGAATTTTGGTCTCATTTGTTCTTTTCTGACAATGTTAGTTTCAATTTATGTTTTTACTACAATATGGGACTAGGTACAAGTTGTGTATGAATTAACGATTCTTTTTAGAGTCTTGCTTAACGGTACACATGTTTTGGGTCATAATAAGTAACAAACCAAGATGAATCTATTTTATTTGTTAATAGCATGTTTGAAATTACAATTCAACATTCTTTAATATGACATTTGTACTTGAGAAGATACTATTTGATCATTATAATAGAGAAAGAAAATTGTATACCCCTTTGACTTAATCTCGAGATGAAAGGTATTCATATTCCTTTAGCCTAACCACACGATGAATACTCCACTTGTCACATTAAAATAAATTAATAAAGTAATTAATATAATTAACTAATAAAGAAAAAGTTAAATTATTCAAGTATTCAAAAGGTTAATCTTAGGCTAAATTAGAAGTCTATTGGCCTAACATCATGCCTATAAAAGGAAAGTAAGTGTGACAGGTAAAAAAAGTTAATTTTAGAATATTAAACAATATTTATTATCTTATACAGAATATTAACTTCATCATCAGAGTGTATTTGCAAGTATCCTCTTTCACGTTACAGCATAAAAGAATATGAAATATTTTATAAAGACGTCACATTAGAGAATAAGAACTGAGATTGTAGAACAGCAGTGTATCCTTTACCAGAGCAACATTAACGTAGAAAATACCATTTATAGCATTAAAATAATAGTGAATTCATAACTATATCAATGTGATTTTAAGTATATTTCAAATACTAATAATTTTAAAAAAAAGAGAGTAGAGAATAGACAAAAATTAGACCATATTTTTATTTATTTCCTGCTGTTATTGTATTAGCAACAATATAACACCGTGCGTGTTTGGACAGAAAAAGGATGAAGGAAAAAAATGGAAAAAAGTTTGATGTTTAGATTAGATGAGAGAAGGGAGAGGCAATTTTTTTTGGAGAGGGAGATGAGAGTGAGAGGTGACGTGGAGGGTTTTTTTGTTTTTTATTTTATTAAAAATGTTAATATAATATTAAAATATTTTTATTAAGGAAAATATTATAATAAAAAATTGAAATAATTTTAATTATTATTATTATTATTTTAATAAATTTAAATTATTTATTTGTACTTTTTTTTGTTCATCTAAATAAGTGAAGTTTTTTTTTTCTTTCTTCTTATTTAGTTCCTTCAAATATCAATTGTTTCACTTTATTTTATATTTTATCTTTTTACCCTCTTATTTATTTATTTTATTTCACCTCTCATCCAAATATAAAAGATGATAAAATCAACCTGTTACATGTGTACAGATGCTAGTATTGAATACAATACATTACACAAATGTAGTAATTTTACCAAAACGAAATTAATGAGTACAATAAAATATATTAAGGAAAATATAATTATCATCATACATTCTTGGTTTCTTTTCTTAAAAAATGTGGTTAATATCTATGCTGTGATTTTTCATCATTATCATATTATTAGCTTTTAACCTTTTGAAAAAAATTATTAAAAAATCATAATCAAAATTAAATTATGATAATAATTCATTTATTATTAAAAAAATTGTATATTAAGACATTTGAAGGTAACACAATTTTTTATATCGAGGCAGTTGTATAATACATGTATAAATATCTAGTATTGGTACTGTACAGATACATTGTTAATTTTGAAGTATTTATGCATCATAACACAAATTATTAAAATGATTTATATAATAATTTATATATAAAAATAATAACAAACTTTTCATCCTAGATATGCATACGATAAGAGAGGAAACTAGAAACATTTTTATTAAAAATATTTATTATATCTAGATTAAAAAAATCACTTAAATTATAATGTTTGAATCTAGAAAAAAATACAAAGGAAAGAAAATAGGTAGAAAGAAGTAGAAGAAAAAAATGATCAAAAAATACATAAATTATTTTAGTAGTTGGGTTGAGAGAGAAAAATAAATGAATAAAATGTAAAGTTGACTTTTTTTTTTAAAAAATGTAGTTATTCAGTTAGATAAAATAAATAAAAAGAAAAGTAATATTTTATTATAAAGGCAATTAATTCTTTTGTAAACTAGTGTATATGTAATAAAATTGAGACATGATAAAGTCTGTATAAAAAAATTAAATATTATTTTTGTGTTTGTTATGATACTTGTAAACTTAAAAGATTATTTTATATCTTTTCTAAATCAATGGTAATGATTCATTTGATATTTTAAAGATTAAAATGTATTAATATTTTTTTTTAACTAAATAACTGATATAAAATTATATGTAATAATTATTTTACATGTAAGAGAGGATATCTTAATTATAAAAAGTACTGAAAATTTTACCTTTTCCTTTTCAAATTTTCACACATGAAGAATGAATATGAATTTGAAATCACAAGTTGTAGCCAAAATAATCATCAATAAATTTGGTCTAATTAAATAAAAAAATTAATTTATAAATTAAAAATAAGTTGTTATTGCATAATAAAATTAAAAAATGTGAAACATATACACACGCACATAATATTAAAATGATGAAACTGATATACCAAAAGGTTCAATGTGGTTTATATATATCCAGTAATATGATTTTTTTAAAATATCATTTTAAATAAGCATGGTTTGACCTATGTTCGATGTAGATTAAGTCAGAAGTCTCCAACAAGTGAGCTAACTTATGTTTACTTTCAATGACAATTTGATTAACAGTTAATCACATCTTCACTTAAAAGTCTTACATTAAAGATATAAAGTAAAAGTCTATTTATATGTATATTAAGACATTTATTCTTCAAAATTAAAACTTTTATCTCTTTAAAAAAAATTCTTTAAATATTTTGAAAATCAAGATAAGAGTTTGAAGTGCTCTTGACTCTTAATTTTTTTAATTTACTCATCCTTAAAAAGAAATAAAACATGCCATTCTTATTTTCTTTTTCTTTTAAATTTAATTTTTAATTATTTATAGAGTTAAATACTTTTTACCTTTAATACATTGTTTACATAAAATAATCATCTATACTTTATAATTTGAAATAGTTTTATTTTTTGATTTATATTTGACCACTTTTATTCAAAATTGAAAACACTAATAAAATTCATGGAGCTAGCTGAATAACAAATAACAAAATCAAGTAATGTGACCCTTGATGATCAATGCTTTCAAATGAGCCAAAGTTTATCAGTTAGTTGCAGTTGTTTTAAAATTATTCGCACCAATGTGGATAAAATCAGCTGATTTGCTTTTGCACAAAACCATCAATCATTTAACTCTACAACCTTTATGCAAACCTAATACAACAAATGCATTCAACCCGAACACATTGCTGGCTTTCAAGAAAGGCACCTGCTATCACACATAGAGTCGACTTTTTCGTCATGTTCTATTGAACTGATGAAGAATTGGCATACAACAAACGCATACTTTTTAAGTAGGTAACATAATATATAATATATATTTTATACACACATTTATATAAAATAAAGATTTTGTATGAAGGAAAAATGAACAAATCAAAGAACTAGCTCTACCCATCAAACATCTTTCACGTTTGTACAAGGAATGTAGGCCGATGAACGATGATGTTTCTTCTGTTTTGAGTTGCGCGGATGCTTTTGCACATTAGTGGAGCAAGGCAAGACAGGACTCTCCATGGTACAAAGCTTATGCTTCATCCTCCAAGGGAAGAGAAGTTCCAAGCCACAACCCTTTGGAGAAGAAGCATATGAATGCCTAGCTGACCCTGAAGGATAACACTCTGGATAACTCCAAGTATCACAAACTCTCTCTTCAAAATTACTTGGAAAATGCAAAGTAGAAGATGCAGCCAAAGCAGTGGCATCAGGAAGAAAGCGATTGATCATATAAGTTGGAGATTGGTATCCATTAGACTCTTGCAGCTTTAATCTCAACCCATCATTGTTGTCACTGTGAGCAGTCTCTGATTTCCTTTGGACAATATCTAAAGCCTCTGATAGAGAAAAAACATCCATAGCATCTGAAAAAACATCATCCTTGTTGTCATCTTCGTCACTGCTACCATTATCTACATCAGCCGCAGCTGCCTTTTTTGGAGGAAACCAATGGCATGGTGGTAGTCTTAGTCGCGGCGTGCCACCGTCGTGGGTGTCATCACGGCTCTCGATATCTTTTGGCTTGCCTGGTGCTTTCTCCCATGAAAATGGGACTCTTTCACTTGTATTTTGGATACCCCCTACTGAATTTGATGAGCATGATGTATCAGCAACAAGTGAATTACCAAGACGCCTCGTTGATAGAAGTGGTGCATTTAAATTTAGCCTTCTAGGACGTTTCAAATCCATGGTCTCGATCCAAGACCTCCTCCTCCTTATTCTTCTGCTTCTTTGTCTTCCATGTAACAAGCTTCAATAACTAGATCGAGTATCTTAGATAATTTTGACAGAAGATTCTAAAACTTTGTATTAGAGAGGACATCACATCTAGTTAGTTGGGGGAATAAATAATAACAGTTGGACATATGGGTATCTCGTGAAAATCATTATAACTAAGGTCTTGCTTTAAATTGGTCACAGGTGTGTTGAAAAGCCCTCCTTCCACGTGGGAAGACTCAACAAAAGCAAGGAGCCAGAACTTACAAGATAAATTAAGCTACGCTTTCCCAGAATAGGAAATTCCTGGCCTTGGTAATCTCATTATTCGATGGTGTTGACGCAAAATAGGCGACCAAAATCCACTTAGAGCAAAATGGTAAATATAATAGTTTTAAGAAAAGCTCAGGGTAGCTGATGCAGCATAAAAAGGAAAAATGACAAACGAATGTTTAAAGATGTCAAGTATCCATCATTCTCTCAATTGGCACTCGCGTTCTACATGGTCCATGATGGTTTACAAGGCGCTGTGACTTTTCGAAACAATATTAATTATCCACAAAATAGTAATAATGAAAAAAAGAAAAAAAAATTAAGGGAAAACACATACAGATTGATTAAGCAGATGAAATGCTGAAAACTTGAATACTAGGTTGGATATATGTTAAAAGGGTCGCCCGGGAAAATTGTGTTTATACAACAGAGAACAGTGAAAAATGTTATAACACAATGGGAATTGGCAAATGGCTGAGCCAAAAATATAATGTTAAATATCTAAATCTTGGACTTACATAACAAATTGGTTTCATGTACATGTTTTGTCTAACTGGTAACTCATCACCAATCTTGCTGGTGTGGCATACTGGAGCATAGAAGCAGCTGTCTGTACTACTTGACCATACTCTGACAAAAACACAGGTCATTACATATATTTACAAGCTATCCTGCTCCTCTACTTCCCCTTCAGTTTCAATCCAAATGACCTTTCTAATTTTTCTTTTCCCTTCTGCGGTTTCACTCTCCAGAAATATAGACCATACCATCTCTGGAGACGAAATCTAACAGATAAATAGCACGGATGACTATTGAACCTTCATGAGTAAAACAGTACAGGTTGGCAAGAATAGGCTTGTCCCCCCATCAGGAACACTAGCTCAGAAAACCCGATTTTTTAATCTCCCAAACTCTCACTTTTGTTCTCTACCCTGCTCCCGTGCTCTATTACAAATATTAAGACTATCAGTATGGCCAGGATCAAGACAAAGGGCAGCTTCACAGTCCTGGATTGTAGCAACAAAATCACCCATTGAATCATAAAAAGCCGCTCGAAGATGTAACAATTGCAGATCTGGCTTAAAATCAATGGCTCTTGAAAGCTCTGCTATTGCTTCAGCTTCCTTATGATCATCCATTAAAACTGGCAGACAGAGTGAGTCAGAACTTGATGAGCTTTGTACATGCAGAGCAGAAAAACATTGCACTAAAAGGTTTGAAAGGTTCTATACTAAGCGCAAAGTCAAGATCTCTCGCTTCATAATTGATCAATCCAAATAAGATAAACAAACCCAAACAAATATGTACGCTACAATAATGTATGATTTGATAGGCATTTTATGAACATAAAACCTATGAACTACAATGATATTCCTTAAGCATGTAAATCAATGCCTGATGCTCATTTTCTACTGCACAACTGTGCAAGATCCACATGTCATCTCCTACAATCCTTCTGGGATATGATGTTTCTAGGAAACTACATGCTTATTGCCACAAATTAAGACAAGGAGCATTTTTTCTGAAAGGACACTTAAATCATACAGGGTGCCAACAAAAACTTTTGATTTGGGGTATATAAACAAAGAAAGAAAGCAGGATAGAAGCATTGGTTTTTCATACAGTTAATTTTACTTGGTAAATTGAAGGAAAGTTACAAACTACTATAATTTTTAAGGAAAAGTAAAGCATCTGTCTGCCACAGAAAATATTTAAAACACAAAAATGGTTTACAAATTACAATCACAGATACAATTCCCCTCCCTTACCATCCCACAAACCCATGGAAAACAAGGAGAAAACAAAGAATAATAGAACCATTCACACGAAACTCACCTGCTGCTCTATATCTGTAGGGATAAGTCCTTAGAGGATCCAATTGTGATGCCATACTAAGATCACTCGTTGCCATGTCACGGTCACAATATTCTGAACGTTTCTCATAAGCTGATGCATTATACTGGGCCTTTTCTATAAGCTTTGTCATCTCATCATAGGCAGCTTTGCGATGATTTTTAAGATGATATACACGTGCCAACCCCTGATGTGCTCGTGTATGCTTGATGTTGAGTGCATTCATGTAGCAATCAGCAGCTAGGTCCAATTTATCACAGTCTACGTAGACACTCCCTAGATTATTTAGTGCCTACAAGTTAAAAGAACAGCAAAAATAAATACATCAGTGATGAAATCAACATGACATGTTTAATCCAAACAATATAAAACTCACTTGTCCTTTCCGAAGACCATCTGAAGGGCATCTAAGAGCTTCCTCCAAGAGATGGATCACATACTTTGAAGACTGTGAATCAAGATTTGAGTCAGCTAAAGCATAAGCTTTAAGAAAGTAAGCTTCAAATGATCTTTGAATAGAAATAGACTCTTCAGCCTTTGCTAATGCTTCTTCACGATGACCAGTGTCATACAATATCCATCCTTCATAGACAAGCCTTTCATGGTCAGAAGTAGAATGATTTCTAGCCAGCCGCAAACTACGCATGGCAGCCTTTTGACAATTTAACCTGCAAGATTCAGGAAAATCAACACCTTAACTGTCAAGCTCCAGCATTAAAATGAACCAGGACTAAGATTAATTAGCTATCCTAAGTTAATCACAATCAACACTGGTTAAAATTAGAAACTTAAGAGAAGTACATAACTAAACAATAAACAAGAAAATAGAATTTTTATTAAAACACACCCAACCAATTTTGCAAATTAGATATCGACTTCCATTCATTCTGCAGGCAGTGAAGATACAATAACAACTAGAGTACTCGTCCTGGACTACAACATACAACACCATATATTCTACATAAAAAATAGGTAGTTTTAGGGATATTACATAATAAGGTAGTAACTACTACTTCAATGTTGATCCAGGCCAGTACATCAAAAAAATGTTCTGCAGTTCCATCTTTTGTCATAGTTTGCCTTGATGGATGGGATATGTGACAATTTTCTCTTATTGAGTTTTTGACATAGTAAAATATGACTATAAACTGATTTATTTACCAGCAAATAGAGACATGAATTCCATCCAGATATATATATGGTCAGTTAAAAAAGAAAAGAATCACCCAAACCTTTCTAGCCAGATTTAGATATTACTCTCCTTACTTAAAATAGGGAAAGCAAACTACAACCCACAGTAGACAATTCATTCAGAGAATTCTTGGTTGGGAAAAATTGATGAAGTCAGACTAGAATCTACATCAGAACATGCAAATGTTAAAATGAGACATAATTAGTGTAGGGATTACACTCACCTTAGAAGAAGGAGAGATTGCCGAAAGCGTAAAAGACTTTTCCCTGGGTCATTTGCCAACATTTGGTGTACAACAGCCAAAGAACCAACGTCATCAACAGTGGACCATCGGTCATACAACTGCATCCAGCAATCAGCCTGACCCCATTGCTGAACAACCGGAAGGAGTAGTTCTATTAAGTGATCCCCGTGCATATTCCCATAGAACATCTTATAATTTGGATCCAATGTCAAAATTGCCCGAACATCTCTAAGGGCTCCTTCATAATCCTCCATGGCAATCAAGAACCAAGCTCTCAATTCAAGACAGTCTGGAGAAACCTTAAAACCAAGTATTTTATTGATTTCTGCAATGGCCTGTCCAATCCTGTTCTCCTCCAGCATAGAAACAGCCCGGTATTTGTAAGGAAAGGAAAGTGTTGGATCTAACTCAGTTGCAGAGATCAAGTCCATCAGTTTCTCCTTCCCAACACAATACAAAGACCTTTCCTGGTACATCCAGCCAACTGGTTTATAATCATAAATAAGCGAGTTCATCAGCTTATATGCTGAATACGTGTGACCACGCTTATATTTGGCCCTTGCAACTCCCACCAAAGAATAAGTATGCCCTGCCTCCACTGCTGCCTCAAACCAATGCTGTGCATCTTTGTATTCTTTTCTCTCAAGCATAACAACGCCTAATTGGTGAAACGCAATTTGCTTCTGCCATCCATCTTTCGCACACTCCACTAATCTCTCCAACAGCATCACAGTCATATTCGACCTCATCTCTTCCTCCATTGCAATCTGAATCAAAAAATAATACAAAACAAATGACGCATGCCCTGCCAAAGCCAACCTATCCCTACCCTCAGGACTACAAAACATTTTCACAATACTCGAACACTGCATCGAACCAGGAAGCTCCCTGAGGAACACCTGCAAGCAAGCCGCCACCAGCAGGTACGCGGTCTCCTCCAGTCCATACTCAACGAGCAACAAGGCATCCTCCATGTCACAAACCAGAGATGCCAAATGCACATCACAAGCATGCTTCATCTCCTCACAACAAAACCGATTCGCCAAAGTCAGCATCTCCAAAACAACCTTGGGTTCAAAATGATCCAAACTTTTGGTCCTACTAAACACCTCAGCAGCCCTCATTGCCTCAACCGAAATCCCATTCAGCGAAAAATTTATCTTCTCCCTCCTCGACTCTATGAATCCACCATACAACATTGTCTTAAATGGACTCGAAAGCGAGGCCATGTTGAATCTACTACACCTAATCTCATCATCCCCAATACAAAACGACATGTCACCATCCTCCTCCTCCTCCTCCTCCTCCTCCTCCTCCTCCGAGGTAGAGCATTCCTCATCATCCACAATCATCACTGTCTCATTATCAACATCCCCACGCGTGCAAGTGCAGGGATCATACACCGACTCTGGATCATAGCCAGGAACCAAAGTAGCCCTAGGGCACTCCAGGTTCCTTCCGCTACAATCCATCGAGGACGAGCCAATGAGCTCGTCCTCCCTTCGCTCATACCTCAGCCACGCGGCGAGCACAACTTTCGTGTGCACGTCCACGGCGTGCTCCCGCGCGGACCGAAGGCTCCGGCGGAACAGCTTTGGGTCCGCGAGAGCACGCACGACGGCGCACTGCTCCAGGAAAACCTCCGACCTGTTGAATTGCGGGCAATCCTCGATCCTCCGGTAGACACCGGCGAGGGTTTCGACAAAATCGACGGGCCTTAGCGATGGCTCAATTTTGGGCTCTAGAAACGTCGTCATGGGGAGGCCGTAAGGGAGGAGGGAACCCTCAGAGACGACAATCTCAGAGGGTGTCGGATTCGGAGGTTGGAAGTTCCGACCCGATTTGGTTCGAAGGGTTTGATTTTTGATGTGGTCGTGGATGTGCTGGAGAAGCTTCTCGCCGAGTCCTCCTCCGGCTCCGGCGCCGGCGCCGGTGCCGGAAGGATTGATGGCGTAGACCTGAGTGCCTTTGCAACCGTCCATAATCTTCAAGCTACGCATTGTGGCGAAGATGTTGTGTTGCATCTTCTCTTCTTCGCTTCTTTCTCCGAGTTGAACAATTTATTTATCAAAATAAATAAATATACGGAGTTTCTACGGTGGCGACATTGGATGATGAGTTGAAACAAAAACGAAAGAAACAAGAGTTTATGATTTTATTTTATTTTTTCGGATTGGCTCTGCAAGCACCGTAGGGTTAATGTTTTGGGGGAAATAGGAAACTCGACGGTGATGCAGGCTGAATGAAAGAATAGGAACGAATCGGCTAATTTTTTATGAAGGATTGTGTGTTGTGGTGAGGTGTGGCTAACCCAGATTTTCCCCCTCCCTCTATTTTTCTTTTTGGAATTTTCCGAGAAAATGGAGGAAAAGGGGAAAGCAGAAAATAGGGAGGGTGGAAGAGAATAAGGACGATGGAGGAGTGGACAACTAGGTGTGGTGAGGTGGAGATGGAGGTGGCCGTTGAAACGGCCACGCTCTCTCTCTCTCTTCTTTCTCTCTCTTCCCCGCTTCTTCTTCTCTCTGTATTTTTGTATGCTCTTATTATCTAAATTTGCCACTTTTTCTTTTCTATGGCGTTTCTATTTCTACTTTGGTTATGGAATTGCCTCTATTTTTTATTTGTTGAATATAGACAAATCAAATCGAGATAGTAAGAGAGAGAGAATTGGAAGTACGTTATTCTCAAATAGTATCCTATAAAGATTCACCTTAAATATTTTTCTTTAAGTGCCATCAAGGAAAAATATATAATATTTTAACTTAAGTATTCTTTTAGTTAAAAATTAATTTACAATTTTAATTCGTTTCCTTTTTAATTTTTTTAGTTATACTTCATAAATATTTAAAATTTTCATTTGATCTCTCTTAAACAAGAAATTCAATAGAATTCTTTTAATATTTAGTTTGAATATGTCAAATGATGCATAGTAAAATATTAATAATTTTAAAAGTTTTTATTAGAAAATTTTAATGTTATTAAAGTATTATAGTTTGTGATATTTTATAATTTCTAATAAAATTTTAATATAAATAAATTATTATTGTATACTTTGAGCATTTTATTGTTATTCTCTCTCTGAATCTTGGCAGGCCCGCAAGTCTCGGGTCGATAGGAGAATAAAAGGTGAAGGGAAGATAATTTATCCTTTGATTTAAACGCGTGTGATGAAAGCATATTATTTGGGTGTTTTATTGATGATAGCTGTCAATGACTTTCATCCTTCTCATTTTTATCCCCTTCCTTCCCTTTCCCACTTCAATTAATAATCTTTCATTTCCTTGCTATGACCTCCAAATATTACATATTTATGCTGCCATTATCATTAAGTGGAGATTTTAAATATATTCTTTAACACGTTTTTTAATTATTATTATTATTATTATTAACTAAAATTTATTAAATATTGTTGATATAAAAAGTTTGACGAAATTTTGTTAAATTAAGAGTAAAAATTAACATAAATTTTGAAATTTTTAATGGATTAGTTTAGTAATATGGGGAAATTACATGTATTTTATTTTATAATATATATATATATATATAATTAAATAATTCAAGAAAAAATTTATAAGTTTGTAAATAATTGTATATACAATAAAATCATTTTGACTTAATTCTATAAGTATAAATGTTATGTATTAAAATGGTAAAAATTAATAAAATTAAAGAAATTTAAATATTATTTATTTTAAAATAATATTTTTATCATATAAAGTCAAAAATAAATTAATTAAATGTTAATAATCAATATATATTAATAACATAAATTTAAGAAATAAAACTCTAAAAAGTAAAGTTCATAATCGAAAAATATAAAAAAAAATTAAGATAATTTTTATAAATATAAAAATAGGTATTTGTAAAATATTTAAAAATGATATACAATAATAAAGAAAACTTATGTTCCCATTAAAATAGTAGAAAATTATGACTCTTATTACAAGATATGATTCCTTCAAGTTAAATTTACTAAAAGGAAATGTTATACAACAAGTGTTTATGCCTTACACGTGGGTGTCTCGGAGAATGTTTAAATAACATTTTTCATATGTCCAAAGGCCCAAAAAATGTGGTGTGAAATTTTAAATTGGATAGGATTAGTAACAACTTATACACAGTGAGGATAAGGAACATTTTGATCAATTTATAGGGTTAATAAAAGAATCAACACTACAAAACAAGCATGAATAATAATTTGGCATGCAACAATCTGGTGCATATGGCTACAAAAGGAATTATTTCATTTCTAATCCTCAAGACAAATCATAGTAAGATATAATAAAATTAATTAAATGTAGAAGTTGGCGGTGATTAAAGGCAAGAATGGACAATTGTTTGTTGGTATTTATAGGAGTGGTTTGTGGCTAAATTATGCAATATAAATATGGTTTGCATTGTTATAGGGTGAATGAGGCTTAAATTGAATCTTTAATAGATGATCATGTTCATGTAAGTTACATTATATGACATATGAATTCAGCTACTTAAGCCTTAACTTTTACTATTTGATATTTGATATGTAATTTTTCATAATATAAGATATTCTTTTAATTTTTTTTCTTTATTTCCACTATTTAACGTACTCTTGTGTGAATGTTAAATATAGATTATATGCTTATTGAAAATTATCTTTAAATATTTAAATCTTATTTAAATTTTATTATTTTTCTTAGTAATTAATATATTGTTGAACTCAACTGTCACACTAACTTTTATTTGTTTTTTGGAGTTAACCCATGTTATGATTTGCGGGACCTTCTACCCTAACAATGCTAAAATGGGTTTGACTTGATGAATCAACTCATATAACCAATTAGCATAAGTAGGGTGAGTTGTAGTCAACTTGCCTTGTCAAACTTTTTATGTAATGGACAATTTTTTATTCATATATGTTGTTATGCACACATTTTGAATCTAACTATGTAAGAAGGGTTGAAAGTAGTAAATGAAACTTTGCATAAAATTAGGAAAAATGTCAATTATGTGAAGGGTTCTAAAAGTAAAATAAAAAATAAAATAAAATTAAAAGAATGCATGAAACAATTTAGTGGTGTTGATACCTCACTTGATATCTTTTTAGACGTTCCAATTAGATAAAATTCAACTTATCTAATACTTGAAAGTTTTCTCAAATATCAATGTTTCTTTACAAGTATTCAAATGAATGATAGAAATTCTAAATATTGTTCATCAATTTAAGAGTGAAAAAGAGGAGAAAATTGTTTGAATTATTGTTGTCATTTTATGACTTTACCAAATTAATTTCTAGAACATCATATTATACCTCCAACTTGTATTTCGTACATGTTTGACAATTCAGTGTAATTTACAAGAAAATTTAGTTGATGAAGATATTTTTTATAAGGAATATGGCTCAGAAGATGATGGTGAAGATTAAGAAATATTGAGAAATGACATTTGTTTCGTGTAGTTTGATAAAATAAACCTAATAAGTGCACCAATCATTTTAATGAATATAGAAAAATTATCGTTCACGTATTATCACTAAAAAGCAATAATTGACATATAATAAAAAAAAACAATTCAATTGACATCTTTTTAAAGATTTTTTGTCACTTAACCAATGAAATTTTTTTTAGTAAATGTTAATTAAAAAATATAGAAAATTGTATGATATAGAATTCTAACAAAAATCATAAAAGAGTTGCAAATTTATAAAAACAAAGTTAGATATGCAAGATTATAGAAGAGAAATGCAAAATCAAAGGTGAAATCACAATTACAATAATGGTTGTTAGGATTTAGATTTAAGTCAGATTCTCACTCATATATAAAAATTAGACTTCTAACTTAGTTTCAAGATTTAATTGCCTAGTGTGGTAAGCCTCATGTCTCAGTATTATTCCCTAATTCACAGCTAGAAAAATTCAAGGTCTCAGTGAAATTCAACTAAGAAAAACATAAAGATTGAGAATAAAAAGGATCTCAATCATTTATTCCGGATCTATGTGTCTTAGCAATTAGAAGAAATCAAAGCAATTCATTTCATATCTAAACGCTTAGACCAACTTGTTCATTACGCAAAAATGTTCTTATTTCATGCAATTGAATAGCCAAATCAATTGAAACATTAAGTATAGAAGAAAAATTATATAATTATAAAAAATATAAGAATTAGATTTAAAAAATTATATTACATAAGTTTAAATTTGACTTACATCGTATCTTAACCTAAGAGAATTCAAAAACACAAATAATAATTAAAAAAAATAAAAAATCTCCATAGAAAATTGGATAGATACAATAAAGTCCTTTAAATGCTAGCCAAGTGTCTTTAAGGTACTAGTTAAAAAATTAAAAGTAAAATAACTTTCATTAAATAAAATTGTGTTTTTGTGTTTTTTAAATAAAATTTATACTATATTTCATTAAAAGTAAAATAACTTTCATTAAAAATAAAAAATCTCCATAGATATTAAAAATTATGAAAAAAATTAAAAATTGTTATATATTTATTATAATAAATATTTTTTATTTCAAATAAAAATACTTAAATAGAATGGCTGATAATGACAATCATTAAATAATAGATGGTTTCACGTGCTGTTAGATTTAAAGGAAGGAAAAGTTAGATGTATTTCCCTTTAGTTCGTACTCCGTAGCTTCATTGAAAGCAACGGATTCAAACATATTCTTCTTTTATATCGTGGGTAACGTTTATAAACTTTAGTTTAAATGAATTTAAAATAACATGATTTATATTTAAAAATAAATTTATAATAAAATATAGTATAAATTATTTAATTTTATATAATTTATAAATCATCACATTAATTTAAAATTAATTTTAGAATTAAAATTAATTACATTAAAGAATTATTAAGTAAATTAAGACAAATTTTAAATTACCTTTAAATTTTTAAACTTAAATTTACGAGTAAGCAACATAAATTCAAACATGCATTTTATTAAAACAAAAAAAAAAAGAAACTAATATTTTTTTTAATTGCGGATTTTACATTTAAAATTATAAATATAATAATAAAAATTACAGACATTTTTTTTAAATGAAAATTTCATAGTAAATGTACTAAAATAACTAATAAAAACGTCTAATTTATATAATTTTTAAAAAATGTACGATTAGTGGACCCAGGGCTTGCAGAAGTCGGTGTTAGTTTACGGTGGTTTAAATAACGAAATTACAATACAGATAGTAATAATGAATTTGCAATAAAAAAAGGTGCATTATTATTTATTTATGAGTCAATAAATGGCTAATTGCATTAAATATTGCATGCTTGCAATATCGAGGGTCAAATTAAAAATGAAAGAGGAACCTTATTGCATATCGTTGAAAATTGAAATAAACAACTAATATTTTTATATTATAAAATAACAAATATTTTGTAAGAAACTAACGTTTTCAAAGTGATAGATATATAATTTGAGGAGAAATTAAAAAAATATATATATTGAATGACTTTCGAGTTTTTATAATAGAATCTTTCTTTTTCTTTTTTATTAATACATCCGAAACTTTCAAATTAAAAGTGGATTGAAAAAAAATCTATATAAGAACATCTCTAATATTCATATATAAATGGTGAACAGTAAAGGTGGATTATGGATTGTGGTTCACTGAAGATTTATCTGCAGCACTGTATACGATCTCTTCTATATATCTGAACAATCATTTCCCATAAACAGTGCTACTTCTCG